TATATATGTATGTATGTATATAGGCGGATAACGCCTGCATGAAAAATTTAAATGTATGTACATATCAGCGTTGCGGAACGCTCCAATTTTGGCGGGACGTCCCATTTCATAAATCAAAATTAAATGTCCCGCGTCGGACTTTTCGGGGATGACTCGACCGTGCGTACAACGTGCTGAGGAAGCACACAGTTAACAGGACTGGCAGTCCGCCCGGTGCGTAACGAAGATATGTACATATGTATTTATGTACGTATAACCATATATAGTACTTATTGTACTATATTTGCTATTTGGAAAATGAACTCTTTAAAAAACTTTAGAGAGCGTCGAAATAAAAATATCATTTAGTAAATAAACTTATAATTATAAGCACATTTTACTTAGCCCAGCAAAGGCGGGCAAGACATGCTAGTAGGTCTATATGATGATGCTGGAACTTGTCCTTATCGGCTTTATGAATCATTGTGATGACAAATTTTCTCAATTGTTGAGGATAATAACCTCATTTCATCATGCTATTGAAAATTATGGTGAGAAAATATACTGCACAGCTTGGCAATTCAATGATCATTTTAGGCGATATAAAATCGTGGCCCGGCGCTTTTTTATAGCCTGTACCCAAAGGGTGAAAGGCTATACTAGTTTTGAGCGCATGTATGTAACACACAGAAGGAGGCGTGGCCGACCCCACAAAGTATATATATTCTTGATCAGGATGAGAAGACGAGTCGATATAGCCATGTCCGCCTGTCTGTCTGTCCGTCTGTCCGTCTTCTCTTATTTCGTAGCAACTCTTCAATATGCCTGCGAACACGACTGCTTTTGTAAAGTTTATAAGCTGTGATTTCTGGAGTGAAGTGTTTTGCTGTTGTACAGACACTAATGCTGCAACTGAGGTATCTATGTCATCTTTGCAGTTAATGTTTGGGCGGCCATCAATATGGGAACCAAACGGTAAATCGCTTGTAATTATGCGATCGGCCCGTCACAGCGCGATCACGTAATTGTCTGTAGAAATATACGAATCCGTATGCACGGTGAATGGATACACAAATTTCTTTTTAAATCGTATAATTAGAAGAATGTCGTATTTAATTTATGATTGTATACATGTAGCCCAATTTTAAGGACCAATTTATATATGTTTTTGATTGTTGCTTTTTCGTAAAATATTAATTTATTTTATGCAAATGTGGCTAACATTAACATTGTTATTTTTTGGATATACTCTCCCCTTTCATCTTGAAGCTACCACGCCTCTCCCTTCCTTTTTTCAACAATAAAATACATATATCTACATAACACAATGTTTTAAGATAGACTTTGTGCAAAAAACTGGAATAAATCTTAGAGTATTTCCTAACTTTAAATTATATTTTGGTCGTGTTATTTTTGTTTCTATCGCATTTTCACGTTCGTGTCTTTTCGTACTTTATTGAGTCAATACGAACACGGAAACAAGGCACTCGTGTCCACGAAGTGGACACCGACTTTGCCCATCTCTGCTTGTGTCACTGTGTATGTGTGTTTATGTGATGTCCCCAACTTTTTGATATTGTGCGTTCTTTGTTTCTTATTGTTGCTGCTATGGCAAGTAAAAAACATATTTCTATATTTCGAAAATCGTTGAATACCAATTTGTATATATAGTTATGTTAACTACGGATACCAAATTTGAAATCGATCGGACAACATTAATAACACCAACTTTCCACTTGAAAAATGGTGTAGACATATTAAAACCCGAATAATTAAATTTAAAGAACTGAGTGTGCATTTTTTTTTTATTCTTTTATAGATTGCAAAAACCAAATTTGCAGTTCATCAGTGAAAAACTGAACATTTTTCAAACAAACTTTGGAGCTCGTTTTTCCCCCTTTGGAACTCGAATTTTCAAAAATCCATTCTTAGTGCACACCTACAATATTGACCCCTAGCTTTTACCGTTTGGGCTGTGGGCTGTTGACGCGGTTTCCTTTTCTGCTCCAACATGTTTTTTTGCAGGATAACTCCCATATTTCAGGCCCCAACTGTTTGATATTAAGGTTTGTTTGTTATTTGTTGTTGTTGCATTTGCAAAGCGAAAAGCCATGTTGTAGATTTAGTTACGTAGATTACATTACCCAAATATGAAATTGATCTGATGAAATTTATAACAAAAACTTTTCAATTGAAAAAGTGAAGAAATATTAAAACTCCAATAATTCAAGCTTCAAGACAAATTTCGAAAAACCGAGGCGATCTAGCTCTGTCTGTCTGTCCATCTGTCTGTCTGTCTGTCTGTCCGCATGAACATCTGGATCTGAGAGACTATAAGACCTAGGGATAAAAAGTTTTAGTCCAAGATACCTTATGTGAATATGATGAAAATGTGTATTTTGGATTTCCCCCTCTCCACGCACAATCACTGATTTTCCATAACTCCCGTATTTCTTGGAATTTCGATCTCAAATTAGGCAAATGCCTTCAGTTAGTGATTATACGTCCTTATTATATCATTATGATAGGCCGATTTAGCAGGAAGCTATAGCCATATATAAAATGTCGGGCCGAGCACTGTCCGCAGCAGTTGTTGTTGTTGCTGCTTTCCACAGGCACAAGAGACATATACACACAAACACCCAGAGAGACTCATATTTATTCAACACATATGTACAGAGTATTTCAAAGTCGAATCACCCGACTTTAGCTTTTCCACTTGTTATATCCTGTACCCAGGGGGTGAAAGGGTATACTAGTTTTGTGCGAATGTAGGAGGAGTGGCAGATCCCCAAAAGTATTTATATTATTGATCAGGATGACAAGACAAGTCGATATAGCCATGTCCGTTCCTCCGCCTGTCCGTCCGTATGAACGCAAGGATCTCAGAAAGTATTGTATCCAGATTTTTTCGATAACTCCCGTAATATTTGGAATTTTGAACTAAAACTTGGTAACTACATCCCGTTAGTGATGATGTGTCCGTATGTTACACGCATATAAACACGCAGCCCAAACGGTAAGAGTTAGGAGGCTGAAAATTAGACACAAGTTGTCTTTTGTGGTGGAGGTGAGCACTAAAAGCGTTTTTAGAAAATTCGATCGCCAAAGGGGGGAATACGCGCTCCAAAGTTTGTTTGAAAAATCTAAAGTTTTCCACCGGTTAGCTTCGTTTTTATACTCTGTACATAAAATGTACAAGAGTATATTAGGTTTGCGGGAGCTGAAAATGTAACAGGCAGAAGGAGGCGTGGCAGACCCCACAAAGTATATATATTCTTGATCAGCATGACGAGACGAGTCGATCTAGCCCTGTCTGTCTATCTGTCCATCTGTCTGTCCGTCCGTATGAACACTGGATCTCAGAGACTAAAAGAGAGACACAAAATTTTGCACAAAAATACCTTATGTGTGTACGCTAGACGAATTTGTTTTATTTTTTTTTTTTATTTTCCCCCCACTTCCCCCCTATGGTGGTTTTCCCGATTTTCCATTCGTATAATAGCCTATATCTCGGAAACTATAAGAACTGGGAACACCAAATTTTAGTCCAAGATGCCTTATAGGCATTCATACACTCACAGAGACACAATTGCTTTGTATATGTGCGATTATACACCCTTTACGTGAGTTCGAATACCGAGAGAGGTCGATCAAATTTTTTTTTTTAATTTTCTTAGTTTTTTTAAATTCTATAATTATTGTAAACATATGTACAGAGTATTTCAAAGTCGGGACACTCGACTTTAGCTTTTTTACTTGTTTCTGATTGCTGATGTTTTCTTAAGCCACAAACAGTGGATAAATCATTGTATTGAATACATATTTTGATTTGTTAGACACACATAGCCAAGCATATACTTGTACTAACTATACAGACACAATTCCTATGCTAAAGTCCTGTTATACACCCTTTACATGAGCTCGAATGCAAAAAAAAAGAAACGTACAAATTTTTTTTTACCTTTTTTTTAATATTCGTAATTTTTTTTAACTACTTTAATTATTCTACACATATGTATGTACAGAGTATTTCAAAGCCGGGATACCCGCCTTTAGCATCTTCCTTATTTTTAAATTAGTTTGCAACACAGAAAGTTAAAGATTTTGACAAAAATTGCAAGTGCATGAAAAAAATTGTGTGTTTTTGGCATAGTCAAAAATAAAACAGTATTAGTCCATAACGGTTAATCACTAAAAGCTAACTGTAAAATTTTAAAATTGTTGCTGCTGCATTCTAAGTGAAACCACAAAACATATGAAGGCACGACCAAAAAAATCTTGTTCCTATTCAAGGGCATTGCAGTGTATGTACGCTATATATTTAGTGTATACATATATAGTCTGTATAAAGTAGAGAAAGCTTCGGTGCAAAGGTGAACAAAAATATGCGATAAAGCAGACAGATAAAAATATACATATGACAAAGTTTGTTTTTATATGAGGAAAAGCGTACAACTATGGAAGGGAAATGCCTTTACCACCTAAAAACTTGTCTGTGCGTAGCCACAACATTTTTAATACATATAGGTAGCTTATCTAGCTTTTTATTTTTCGTTTTCATAATGTCTGAGTCATTTTAGATCGCTAGAACTCAAGTTAAGTATTTTTAATTACGAAGTTTATATGATTTCAGGTTTTATTATTAAATGTACGGTTCAATTATATCCATTCGTATATATAAGAAATAAATATATGATTTTGCTGTACTTAAACGCTACATTGCTCAGTATATGATTAGACTTTCCTTGACATATTTAAGTTATTAAAACTGTCAATTATGTCAATTCAATTTTAATTTTAGAGCCCGTTGGGTCGGTCAAACCGAAAATAAATGTGCAGGATAAATTACAAACTCGTGAGATAGAGGAAACCGTTGACGTTTCATTATTGTGCCCGGCCCAATCGTATCCAATTCCTGCATACAGGTAGCCATCTGAATCATTTATTTGGTTACTAACCATTCAGGCAGTTTACGTTCTTTATTTTGTTTATACATTAATATTTTTGCTTGTTTTTAGAGCCAATTGGTAGTGTGCCTCCAAAGGTTAGCATTGAGGTTGAGGTTGCTGGTGCAAGAGGATATCTAGGAAAAAGCATAAGTCTTAAATGCCCAGCGCAATCGTTTCCGGTCCCTTCATATAGGTGTGTACCAATATCAATTAAACATATTTAGTTGATGGAGTTTTAAGGTCAATTTTCTCAGTGTCCACAACAGAAAAAGCTCTACACCAACATACAACAGGATATGTTCAAATTTGACAACATACAGATTAATAAATGTGATTTACAGAGCCCATTGGTACAGTGACACCAAAAGTTAACAATATAAATGATAAATTTCAAATAATGCATATTAAAAGGGGAACAGATTTTGCAATGCAGTGTCCTCAACAAGCTTACCCGATTCCTGTAGTTCGGTTAGTTTCATTTTGTATGGCATCATCGTTACTTCATAATTATTATTATTGTTTTTAAGCGCTTACCCAGAGAAAATTTATGAGTAGTAAAATAAATTAATACTCTAATAGAACAAACGGAAATATTGCTATTGTTTAATATTTGTATAAGTTTAACACAGGCGGGTTACTTGTGAAATGAAGCATTTGTTGGAAAAAATTTGTCATAGTTTTGGTAAAATCAAGCAAGTAACTTCCAAAATCAAACAATTTCTTTGTGCAAATGTATGTTACAGACAGGAAAGGTATCTCCGACCCTATAAAGTATGTATAACTATTCTTGATCAGCATGATAAGATAAATCGATTCGGCTCTGGGGCTTTGCCCACGTTAACGAAACTTATTGAGAAAGAAGCACCTTTATATTCTTAATCAGCATGACTAGGTAAATCTATTTCCATCTTCTAGAACGTGCTACATGCTACATACATATGTATATAGGCAGATATCGATATATTCACTCGTTTCGTCATATTGATGAATAATAATTTGCACAAACCTACTATACCCTTATCCAAAACTAATATTCATTCAGGCAGTTTAGCTATTTTTGCATTTATAAAACATATAAATTAATAATATCATACATATGTTCTTAGAGCCCATTGGCAGCGTCCCTCCAAAGGTTAGCATTGACGATGAGGTAGCTAATGCACGCGGATTTTTGGGAAAAAGCTTTAGTCTTAAATGCCCTGCCCAATCATTTCCCATTCCTGCATATAGGTGTGTAACAATTCAAACACATTTTTAATTGATTTATTATTTCTTCAAGTATAAGGAATGTTGATAAAAATTCTATCTACAGGCATTTGAAATAAAAAATACTCTTATACATGGTATATCTATTAAAGATATTGTGCAGTCTTTATTTTTATAGCCTGTACCCAAAGGGTGAAAGGCTATACTAGTTTTGTGCGCATGTATGTAACACACAGAAGGAGGCGTGGCAGACCCCACAAAGTATATATATTCTTGATCAGCATGAGAAGACGAGTCGATATAGCCATGTCCGTCTGTCTGTCTGTCCGTCTGTCTGTATGAGCGCAAGGATCTCAGTAAGTACAAGAGCTAGGATAACCAAAATTGGTATCAAGATTCCTATAAGCCCTAGGCAGAACGAGTTTATTTATTTTTTCTGATACACCCCCCACTCCCCCGCAATTCGTATTTTTTCTTATAACTTCCGTAATTCTCGGAATTTTAAAATCAATTTTGGTAGGTACATCCAGTTAGTACTAATGTGTGCCAAATTTCATCATGATAGGTCAATTCTGAAGAAAGTTATAGCCATAAGTAAAATCGCTGCTCATGCGCTGCCTGCAGCTCTGTCGGCAGCGCTGCCCGCAGCTGTTGTTGTTGTTGCTGCTTTTGTTCAACTTTGTGCTGCATACATACACGCATATAAACACGCATAGGTACGTGATGTAAATGTATGCTGTTAAAACTGAACATAAACATGTATTCTAATTTAATTTAATTAATTATTTTAATTAATTAATTCATTCAATTTTTTAATAATTTAATTTTTTTTAAATTTTTTTTTTTAATTTTTCCTTTTTGTGGAGAGTACAGGCTATTTTACTGTCGGGATTGCTCGACTGTAGCGTTCTATCTTATTGCTTAATGCGTAGTTCACAACTTTAGGGAATACCGCTCAAGTGAACTGGTGATGGACGACTAACAAACTAATCGATATTTTCAAGACAACATATTCTTGACTTTAACACTTTCCCTTGTTGATCTTAATAATAATACATAGTTGAATAATAGTGTGATGACAATATATGAATAAATGTATGTGGAGAGTCCCATCTCACTACAGAGTAACTGAAGGCGGGATATCGGCAGTGGCTTGTATCGTGTATCGTTTGAGCTGGATAACATTCTCTGGTGTTGGATTCTCTAGACTCCTTGATAGAAATACAAGGGTGAATTCTAGATCCGGTCTGGTCCCCAATATAAGGTACATTAGGACTCCGACTGCTTGGCGATATGGAAATGTGCAGTCTTTTGTGTCTTCTTTCCATGATTCAAGCGCTTCTGTATGTTTTATGATCGGTGTTGAAGCTGGTTTGCACTCAGCAAATCCAACACGATCTAAAATCTTTCTGGCGTAACCGGCTTGATTAATCTTGATTAACTGCTTGCATTGCTCTATTTCCAATTCAAGGGAAAATATGGCTTCTATTGAGACAATCTTGAAGTGTCGGAAATTTTCAAACCGGCTGGGTAAGAGTGTAAAGTCTTGCAAACCAAAATCAAATCGGAGAGCTGATTTCATATTTTGCATGTAGACCATTGTTAAGCTCGACCCACAAACTTTTTAGCTTCGCAATGTGTGATGAAATACCACTACTTTGTGTCCAGTTATGTGCAAAGAAATCTGAACAAATCTTGAATAACTGATCCTTGGGCGTGACTTCGAACTGCTGCTTTAGCGCTTCCTATGCTTCATGCGCTGTGCCTTTGTCCATAATTTTCTGGTAAATTTCGTCTTTGACTGCACTTGAGATCAACGTCTTAAAATAGATGTTTGCTTTTCTATAAAAGTCACTCTTCTACTTATGACTTTTGACTTGGGCCTCACTTGCGTTTTCCGGCAGTGCCTCTGGCTTGACCAACTTGCCATCCAGTACATCTAGAGCACCGTCGTGATAATCTAGGATATCACGAATCTTCCTTTTCCACAGTGGCCAATCTGCTTCACAAGCCAACAGCTTTATACTTATGTGTTGCGCTCTAACACGTGGCTGTTCCCATAACCTATTAAAGATATTGTGCAGTCTTTATTCTTGCTTAATACGCAGTTCAAAACTTTACCGCTCAAGTAAACTGGTGTTGGAGGACTAATCGATATTTTCAAGACTTAACATATTCGTGACATTAACAATATCAAGGGATGAATAATTATGCAGTGTTTCGAACATGCTTTTACCAGTAGTTATAATTATATAAATAACTAGCAGGTATTGCCCGTCTTAACCCGGCTCCATATAATGTTTCAAATTGTATTTATTTTGTGTGTGCCTAACCTACCCATATGTTTACACTTTATTAGTTACCAGTAGGTACCAGTAGCTGCGGGCAGCGCTTGGACAGCAATTATATTTGGTTATATTTGGTGTATCTACCTCTTATAGTCTCTGAGATCGGACAGACAAGGCTAGATCAACTCGTCTTGTCATTATGAAAAATATACATATATACTTTGTGAGGTCTGCCACGCTTCCTTCTACCTGTTACATTTTTAACGTCCCGCAAACCTTATATACTCTTGTAGTAAAATAAATTAATACTCTAATAGAACAAACGGAAATATTGCTATTGTTTAATATTTGTATAAGTTTAACACAGGCGGGTTACTTGTGAAATGAAGCATTTGTTGGAAAAAATTTGACATAGTTTTGGTAAAATCAAGCAAGTAACTTCCAAAATCAAACAATTTCTTTGTGCAAATGTATGTTACAGACAGGAAAGGCATCTCCGACCCTATAAAGTATGTATAACTATTCTTGATCAGCATGATAAGATAAATCGATTCTTATTAGTTACCAGTAGGTACCAGTAGCTGCGGGCAGCGCTTGGACAGCAATTATATTTGGTTATATTTGGTGTCTCTACCTCTTATAGTCTCTGAGATCGGACAGACAAGGCTAGATCAACTCGTCTTGTCATGATGAAGAATATACATATGTATATACTTTGTGGGGTCTGCCACGCTTCCTTCTACCTGTTACATTTTTGAGCTCCCGCAAACCTTATATACTCTTGTACATTTCATGTACAGAGTAGAGATATTAAATATAGATATGTCATTTATATATGTAACTGTTCTGATTTTCTGCCTTATGGGTGTTACAAACAGCACTTATATCCTATGTATACTTTTCGGCGAAGTGCATATAAAAGAACAATACATAATAATTAAAACAAGAAAGGAATGATAGGCTCGAGCGGGCACAACTCTTAAATACCCTGTACCCACGCACAAATTCAATTTAAAAACATTTAAATTCAAGCTCTTGTAACTTCTGAGATCCTTGCGCTCATACAGACGGACATGGCTATATCGGCTCGGCTTGTCACGCTGATGAAGAATATATATACTTTGTGGGGTCTGCCACGCCTCCTTTTGCCTGTTACATACATTCGCACAAAATTAGTATAGCCTTTCACCCTTTGGGTACAGACTATAACAACTAGTATGTATTCAATTTTGCTCATTTTGAAACATTCGCACAATGTTTATCAGAATCCAAGGAAACTTTTCTTTTTTCTACTTTATAATTTTTAATTACGCTTTTAATTATATTTGGCATACTTTCGACTAAATTTTCTATAATTTCCTTTAATAGGCAGAAAAAGACGTACCAACCCCACAAAGCATGCATACATACAGGGACACAAAATTTTAGTCCAAGATGCCTTATGAGAATACGCAGAAAATGTGTATTTTGGAATTTCCCTTCCCCCCTTCCCCCTCTTTCCACCGCAAATCGTAACTCCCGTAATTATTGGAACTTCCAACTAAAGTTTTGCATATACCCCTCAGTTACTTATTATGTGTCCGTATGCCAAGTTTCACTATGATACCCCGATTTAACAAGAAGTTATAGCCATATATATAACTTTGCACAAAGATGCGTTATGGGTGTACGCTGTGCAAGTTTGTTTTATTTTTTTGAT